GAGTAACTAATTTTCTAACGAAGAATTAAAACATATTAAAACAACTTGTGCGATAAAAATAATTATCTTGCAAAGTTCGTTAATAATACCATACACCGTACAACATGTTATTTTAAACCTATTTGTAACACCATTAATGTAAAAAAATAACATTTAAATATTAAATATTAACCTTACCCTCCGCGACCCAAAAGGAGAAGCGATCATTGAAGATGAAGACCATTAACCTTACCGAATTCTGCGTTACCAAAAAATTTCGGCGAAAAGTCAAGATGACTACTTAACACTAAATATTATATTAAGGTTACACATAAAAGCTCGAATAAACTGGATGCGTTTTCTACTAATTCTGAGAAAAATAACTCTCTCATCTGGATTTGCAAATTACCGTGTAACTGAGGGAAATATTACATAAAAGAAACATATAACAGCGTCATTCACTTTTGTCATCGTCATCTAAGGTATCAGGGTCAAAGACAAACTATCCAAACTAATGATATCTGAGAACAAAGAACAAAAACCCACTAGTCAAGCTGGAAAAAATGAATGACAGCAGAAAAAAGTGAACGACATGCGGCAGCAAAGCATCTAGGAAGGAATCGAACTCTCTTTACAAGGTCAAAGAACAATGCGAAAAGACCTCCTGTACTGTGCAATACACAACAGAAAAAGGTCACTTACCCCATTAGCCAGATTAGTCAGACTGCAAATGTTTCATTAAACAAAGAAGCCGGTTAAATAGAAAAATCAAGGAGGCACTGACTATTTAATTCTGCACAGATTGGTCTTATCAAGTCCGCTGGTGCAAAACTACCTAACCAGCAGCATGGGTCAACAGCACACCTTTTTGCTCACACCTGCAAAAACTGCGGACCACAGAACGAACTTCGAAAATCAACCTTGCCTACCTGGAAGAAGGCCTACGAGACATGATGTATATACCGTGTTTTAATAGCTGCCAAGACTGCTGATCACAAATGTTACAAAGTGACAACCGCAACCTGATGCTAAGAGACAAACAGACGAACAGGAAGAACGAAACAAGAATTGTATCGAAAATCATTACCTTAATTCCGTGCTCGTCACTTCCAGTGACGAAAAGAGTCTTTTCACTTGGATGCTTCAGGATGTACCACCTGTTCGAAGCATCAGCCAAGAGAGCCGAATATAAATGACCAATGTGTGGAGCTGAAGAAACGGAACACTAAAGAATCTGCCGATTCAACCGCTTCTCACTGTTACCTGCATTGACGTAGAAAATTGGCGTCGTAACAAAATAGCCGATTGACCGTCTGAAGTCTAAACCAACAGATGTCGTACGACCAGCGGCAACGGTCACGGGAACGAGGCGATAAAAGTTCCGCCAGTAGCACACCATGGAAGAGAACCAGTCTGAAAATGTTGAAAAGCAAAGGGTCAATCACGCCGTCGCCATGACGTTCAAGCAATACGAGATGTTGTGAATGTTCATGCAACTCAAAATGATCTATACGTTTATTTGCATACGCATCAAAAATGTACATTTCAGCTCAGAACAATGCAGTACACTACGGAACAATAATAAACTTCAGCCTGAAGTCAGAAAGTTCGTATTTTTTCGGCAGAACCAGATTGGCGACTTTGAGATTCAGTTCTTCCAGATCAAGAAACGTCTCGATCATGCGACTAAGCAGAGAGTTACTAACGTGCACCTGCAACCAGAAACCTTTCGAACCATATGGACATTCTGGCGAAACAAGCACTCCTGGCATATCCGGAGGGCAGAACGTGATCATGCTTTGGATGCCATTGGCGGTCATCAGTCGGAACGTGAAGTGACGTCGATGCTGCAGTCGACCTTTGCACATCCACGGCAGTAGAACAGCCGTCTTTATATCAAGGTGAATGTCGAGAGCGTCGAACGTTCGAAACTCTGACTTATTGCTGAAGTCGTAGTTCGGGTACTGACTCGTCGATCGGTATGAATTAGCGCCTAAGGCAGAACAATAACTAACATTTAGGACTACGAAGAACACCGATGCCATGCCGTAGATTATTTCACTCATCTACTGCGATGCTTCATGCCATACAGATTCAAGATGCCGCCCAACACAAATAACGCAAATTACCGAGCTAGTATTCTTAACTCTGACCTTTATGTATGTAAAAATTATTATATTGCTGAGTGACCAAGCAGAAGGGCTGCTGGCATTCATTAAAAACGTTTACCGCAAGGCAGTGAGTGGTACACAATGCAATGTCAAGACTACGTGCTCCTGTCGCATCCTTCAACCTGAAAACAGTACGGAATGGTTCGGTGTCGGAAGAAGTAAGAAATCGCAAGTACCCTGAACCAAATATTGCTTCATTTTAGCTTATGCAGTGACTGCTGCTACCAGCATAAGTGTTTCTTTAGAAAATATCGCCTAACATCACCAAGAACAAAGGCACCGATATGTGCAGCATTGACGCTTTAAACGTTGCTGCTTGGAATACACTTTCAAAATAAACTTGGGGTAGATTAGTCTTGTACGCACTAGTAATGAAATATGATATAACCTCGAGTACGAAAGGTCTTTGATGAATATACCGCGGATCCGACGAAAGGCCACAGCAAATATTTTATTTTATTATGCGACATGCAAGGTCCCAGTTCCTGTCAACTCTAAC